ATTAAATATATTATATTATACTTTAATATAATATAATTGTTATTTTTAATTATTTTAGTTATTATTTTAATAATATTATTATTTTCTATATCATAATTATAGAATATATTATATAATAATAGTTTTTTATTATATTAAATATAATAATAAATATATATTATACTGTAATTATATATATTATATTATAGTATAATATAATATAGTCATAATTTTTAATTATTCATAGCATTTTAACTTTATAACTTATCAAACGTTATTATACTGATTTTAAAAGCAGCACAGCTATTATAATTATAGTTTATTAAATACTCAGCTATTTTTTGTAACAGCTGCTTCTTCTTTCAGCACAACTAAAAATAATTTTTCTAAAATTTACAGCACTACCAAACTAAGCCTTTGTTCCGTTTTGTGGAATTTTCTTTTGGCCTTTTATGAGAGTGGAGCTGGAAAGAGCAATTTGAAAGAGTGCAGGTGAAAAAGAAAATGTGATTCTCAAGTTAGTGAAGTAAAGCTATTTTGCTTGTAAAAATAATATGGAAATAGCAGTTTGAGAAAGAGTTTATTTGAGTTAGAAATCAGAATTAAACAGTGTCTTAAAGCCGAATAAAGTGTATTTGAGAAAGAGTTTTTATTAGAACTAAAGCAATGTATTAGAGTCGAATAATTTTAGATAGTAGTGGTATCTAAACTTAATAATCAAATGTCTCGAAATATATAATTATTAATATCTAAAAGATTCCACATTTATTATTTAAAATGTAAAACAAACATTTGAACCAGACAATTGCAGGAATAACCGTATCTGAACTTAAGCGTTACATATCATTACAATTTAAGCGTTATAGAATAATTAATATTTAAAAGTTGAGAGTTATGAACCACTCTAAGTGAAACTTTAAATTTAAATGAGAATTAGGATGTACCCGGGATGGATATTTCAATTAGAGTTACAAATTAAAAGAGTTTACTTGAATGAACCATCAAAATTGAATGTTTTTAATGGAACAAAAACTTGTATTCAAGATTTGCAATGGAAAATATAAATCAGACCTAAACAGTTGCAACTTACAATTGGGAGCAGATTCTGAACTTAAAGTGTCAGATGTCATTACAAATCAAAGTGAGTTACACACTTATCGATTTTTAAAATTTATGAGTTATGATTTTGTCTGAGTCATTGAAATCGTAACGTTAAATGAGAGTTTCCTATGTATTAGTCATTTAATATTAGTGACGAGACCTAATACACTTGGGATCCATGCGGACAAAACTAACAAATGATGAAAAGGTGAGTTATGCTTTGGATAGTACCATTATCAAAACAGTAGGCATTGTAACTGCTCAAACAATCTTTGGATGGAAATATGGGCGTTTGGAATTCGTTTTAAAATAATTTTATTTTTTATATAAAAATAAAAATAAAAATATTTTTAATTTCAGACAAAAATTATTTTTAAAAATGTGTTTAGTAGTTTTATTAAGAGATTATTTTCAGTATAAAAAACCGACTAATATCTCTCTCTCTGCTCGAGAGTGGAGAAAATAAAAACAAAAAATGACTAAAAATTATTTTTTATTTTTTTCTCATTTTACACTAAACTAAAAAATTATTTTTATTTTTATTTTTTATCTTTATTGCACAAAACACTGTTTTGAAAACGTTTTCATTTTTTTTTCTCGAAAAACGTAAAAAAATCAATTATAACCACTATGATCTATCTGTTCCTTGGCTCATGATTAAGTACCATAACAAGCAAATTTTCCATGTTTTGCAGTTGGTTATCAGGATTGTGTATTTTGCCTCAAGGGCCACAATCTCATTGAAGTTTCGTTCTTAAGGGCAGTACCCAAATTTTGTACACACGTGGTAGAACATTAACTCAACATTATGCTTTGTAATTTGTTAATCGTCAATAAATCCCATCTTATAAATCTTATTTGATAGACTAATTATTAGGCTTTCTGAATTTTAATTTGATCATGATATTCTTTTCTTAAGAAAGTGGGTTATGATTGCAGTTACGTTTTATGGATCATTATATTGATTAGTAAATTTTCTCCCTTTCCTCTTTTCATGTTTTAGCAAAGTGAAGGACAAGGGGGCAACGATTTTTCTCCCTTTCTGAGAGATGGAGTTGGACCTTTTCAGATATTTCTTTAGTTGAAAAAGGAAGATATACAGTTGAAAAAGGAAAATATACACTTGCAGTTCAAGTGAGTTGCTAAGCTATTAATATTTAAAGTCAAGAGTTTTGAATTTGTATTGATAATTGAATTATGTAGCCTAAATATGAATTAAATTGTACTGAAATTGATACATTTATTGGAGTTACTAAAGAGCCTGTTTGAGTCGGATTTTAAAATTAAATAGCTTTTAGTGTAAGTAAAGTTGTACATGTATGATTTGAAATATAAATTTGAAATAAGAGCAAAACAATTGCAGGTATAGTAGTTTTTAAACTTAAGCGTTAGAGTTTCAAGTGAGTTACATGGTTATTGATATGTGAAAGTTGAGATTTACGAATCTGTCTTGACAAGTGAAGGTGTGAATTTAAATGAGAATTAAGTTGTACTCCGATTGATACGCTTATTAGAGTTACATAAGAGTTTATTTGAGTGAGAATTCAAATCAAATAAGTGTTTAGTAGAGCTAAATTTGTCTATAGTAAAAGTTAAAATTAAATAATTACAGGTGTAACGGTTACTGAACTTAAGCGTTAGATGTCATTATTATTCAAATGAGTCACAGTCACACTTAGACTTAGTTTGGTAGTGCTGTGAATTTTGAAAAAAATTACTTTTAATTGCGCTGAAGGAAAAAATAGCTGTTACAAAAAGCAGCTGAGTGTTTAGTAAACTATAATTATACTAGTTGTGCTAGTTTTAAAATCAGTGTAATAGCGTTTGGTAAATTGTGAGGTTAAATTGCTATGGGTAGTTAAAATGATTAAAATAAACATGGTATGAAACTTAAATATATATATATATATATAATTATTTTTGGTATTTAAAAATACTTGTTTAACTTAAAAAAAAAACATAATGTCATGATTCTGAAGTATCTAACAATAAATTTATGATAATTAATTCTTTTTTTTATTTTTTCATTCACAATATAGTTACAACAAAAATTAGTGAGTAATCAACATATACAACAAAAATGTATATTTCATGTTCAATCATCTAATTGTGTGGCTAAGTTCAATGTGTCGTAGCAAAGTACGAAAAAAAAAAAGTAAAAAAAAAGAGATGAGAGTTTTGGGTGGAGGGGAATAAAGCAAGATTATAGTTTGTGAGGGTAAGTAAGGACGCATTTGGTCATTTTTTAAAGTTTTTAAGGGTATTTGTGGTATTATAAAATTATCATTAATGTCATCAAGTGATTGACCGAGAATCTAAAAGTAAAAACATTAAAATTGCCGCTTCCGCTTCTAGCTGCTGATTTAGCTGAAATTCTCTTAAAATTGGTTTTTGCACTTTTTACTAAACGCTAAAAGTAGCTGTGGATGAATGTAGAATCACTTTTAGAGTCTGAAAATCACCACTAAACTGAGTCTTAATAATATCTGAAACTTGAGAGTTAGTTGCAAATCTTTCTTGATATGTGAAACTGCGTTACACACTTACACTAACATTAAATGAGAGTTAAATTGTTCTCCAAATACAATCATCTGATATTAGGGATCAAACAACTCATGAAGATCCAACTCTGGAATCTCCAAAAAGGTAAAAACAACTAAAACTAAATATTATCTCTTTTGAATAAGGTAGAAATTTCTTAAATCCTTTAAAGTAACTCTTTTGAATAAGGTTCCTTTGAAACAATTTATTTATTTATTTTTTTTAGAAGTCCTTTGAAACAAAATTGAAATACTAATAAGCTAAGAAATTCTATGGTTTTCTTAGAAGACCTGCTCTTTGTTGCACTCAAAAGATCCTGCACTAAGTATTAACTGTACCTATTATTGATACTAGTGCAAGCTGATGCAGAAACTCCAGCAGTAAAACTAATTATTGGACATTTTGGATAATGGTTTACAAGGAAAATAATAATCCTTTTTTGAACACAAAAGGAAACTTGCGTGAGATTGAGGATTCAGTTGTTTATTTCCAAGAGAAAAAGGGAAAACCAGCTTAATGCTTCTTTTCTTTTGCCGTGTACGGCTAGCCAAGGGATTCCAATTTTTCTTCAATGTACGACCTTATCTAAATTGCGTTACATTGAGTATCTCAATAATTATTATATAAAAAAAGAGTATCTCAATAATTAACATAACTCATAAAAGCAAATGATAGATGTTATTCTTGCTTAATTCCATAAACCAAAAAAGTTATTTAAAAAAAGGCAAATTACTCAAATACTCTATATATTTCACCTAAATATCAACTTTATCCCTTATATTTTTCAACTGCCTGAAAACAGCCTATTATTTTGCCTAAATTCACTTTGACCCTTTTTATTTTTCAACTGCCCTAAATACCCATATGTTCACTCAAAATACCAAGAATTAAGTTTTTTAAAAGGGGAAATGATACAAATACCCAATAAAGTGCATAAATTTGAATTTTTATTTTTTACTATTAATTAATATCATTTTTAATTAAATAATTATATTAGGTAAATAGATATTAGTAAAAAATAATGGATAAAAATCTATACTAAAGTAATTTTCTCTTTTCTAAAGTACCGAGATTACCCTGACAATCAATGAAAATGGGGCTTTGGAAAATCTCAATCGGGCCTCTTGGGAAGGGTACGATGCAAGCCCAGGAATGAAGCCCATATTTCTCTTTTCTGACCCAAAAAGAAAAAAGAGGAGGGAAAGAAAGGAGAAGGAAGAGAAGGATAAGCTGCCATGGACGAAGGCTGTTTTTGAACACCAAAACAGGGGAACCAAAAGCCATCAATCTATTCCCGAAAACCCATTCGATTTCTCAACAAATTCCCCTTAATTCAATCACTTAGTTCGTCAAAGTTCTTGATTATTATTATTATTATTATTATTATTATCATCTTTTGGGTTCTCTAACAATGCAAATGTGCGTGCCGGTTCGAAAACCAGGATGGGTTTCTCCACGAAAACTGCTGGAGCAGAAGCTAACCCACCTCCATAAATGCGCCAACATACTTCATATAAAGCAACTCCATGCCCAGATTATCAGAGCCAATCTCCACCTCGACCCTTTTGTCGCGCCCAAACTCATCGCCGCCTTCTCTCTCTGCCGCCAAATCGCTCTCGCCGTCAACGTCTTCGACCAAATTCCCGAACCCAATGTGCACGTTTTCAACGCCATGATCAGAGCCCACACCCAGAACTCTCAGGGCCCGCAAGCCTTCGCGGCTTTCTTCAACATGCAGAGTAATGGGGTTTCGCCTGATAATTACACGTACTCGTTTCTTTTGAAAGCGTGTTCTGGGAAAGCTTGGTTGTCCGTGGTTCAAATGGTGCATACCCACATCGAGAAATGTGGGTTTTGTTCGGATATTTTTGTGCCCAACGCGCTTATTGATAGCTACTCCAAGTGCGGGCCCGTTGGTGTTTTTGCGGCTAAGAAGCTGTTTTTGGCGATGGGAGTGAGGGATGTCGTTTCTTGGAACTCCATGGTTGGTGGGTTGGTTAAAGTTGGGGAGTTGGGTGAAGCGCGCCAACTGTTCGATGAAATGCCTGAGAGAGATTTAGTTACTTGGAACACGATGTTGGATGGGTATGTCAAGGCCGGGCAAATGAGCGAGGCGTTTGAATTCTTTCAGAGGATGCCGGAGAGGAATGTGGTCTCGTGGTCAACGATAGTGTCGGGTTATAGCCGAGCTGGGGATATGGATATGGCGAGGATTTTATTTGATAAGATGCCTGTGAAGAACTTGGTTACTTGGACTATTATAGTATCTGGGTATGCTGCAAAGGGGATTGCGAATGAGGCGAATAGTTTGTATGATCAAATGGAGGATGCCGGTTTGAAGTTTGATGATGGGACCATCATTAGTGTTCTTGCTGCTTGTGCAGAGTCTGGTTTGCTTGGTTTAGGTGAGAAAGTTCATGCTTCTATGGATAGGATTAGGTACAGGTGTTGCACGCCAGTATCTAATGCGTTGGTTGATATGTATGCAAAATGCGGTAGCTTGGACAAGGCGTACAAGGTCTTTAATGGGATAGGAAATAAGGATTTGGTATCGTGGAACGCCATGATCCATGGTTTAGCTATCCATGGTCACGGTGAGAAGGCACTTTGGCTTTTCGGTAGAATGAAGAAGGAAAGCTTTTCCCCGGATGCAGTTACCTTCGTTGGCATCTTGTGTGGTTGTGCCCATGCTGGCTTTGTGAAGGAGGGCCTTTATTACTTTCACTCCATGGAGAGAGACTATGGAGTAGTTCCCCAAGTTGAGCACTATGGTTGCGTAGTTGACCTGTTGGGACGTGGAGGGCGTCTTGAAGAAGCTTTTAGGCTTGTGAATAGCATGCCGGTAGAACCAAATCCCGTCATTTGGAGTACCCTTTTGGGAGCTTGCCGTGTGCATAATGCTGTGGATCTCGCAGCAGAGGTGCTCGATCACCTGGCTAAATTGGAGTCGTCAGATCCGGGAAACTTTTCCATGTTGTCAAATATTTATGCTGCAGCTGGTGATTGGGAAAGTGTTGCAACTATGAGGGTGAGAATGAGGAGTACAGGAATTCAAAAAGCTTCCGGGGCTAGCTCCATCGAGGTAAATGATGAGGTTCATGAGTTTAAGGTGTTCCATAAATCGCATCCTCAATCAGATAAGATATATCAAACGATTGGAAAACTGAATCAGGACCTTAAACGAGTGGAATATGTCCCAATAGGACATTGACTATAGTGTTTTCCAAAACTCTAGGTAGGTACTTTCCGAATGGTATGCCTCTATAGCACGCTGTCTAAGTCGGAATGGTGGTAAAATTTTCATCAAACAACTTTCATGAGTTACCATGCCAATGCCATTATTGTAAGTAAACCACGTTTGAGAAGAAAGTTCCAAACTGATGGTCTTCTGCTCAATCCATAGATGTCACTATGTCTCTGTCTATATGTACCCAGTGTAAAAGAATATTGTTTATCCAAAGAAAAAGAGAAGAAAAAGGCAAATGCTTCTTGTTTGTATAATACAATTTCCTTATACTTGTCGAAATTCTTACCCGTACTTTGACCTTTTAATCTCACCAGTTTCTACTTTCTTTCTTCCCTCTTCCTCTTCCCATATATATTTCAAAATTTCGTGATAAATTTTCTTTTACATTTTGACAAAAAAAAAAAAAAAAATCAATTACAAATAAATTTATTCTTTTAAAATAAAAATAGAATCTAAGAAACCGTGATATTCTTAACCGACATTTATTCTTCCCCAAAAAAATCTCTTATCAGTCTGTTTCTTCTTCTCGAGATCCCTTATGGATCCTTGAATAAAAATTCATAAATTTTCCAAATAAATAAAACAAATAAGGAAATAAATATTTCTAATTTTTGGATGCTTACAATGAAAAATTGATCTCTTATTATAGGCCTACATAAGAGAAAATATTTACTTCAAAATCGATGTGGGACTCAGCTAAAGAGCCCATAAACCAACAATTGCATCGCTTTCAAAAGCATACTTATAAACATCTATATAATGCTAAATGAGAATTATGGTGTGCTACTTATCAAAGTTACAAATCCCTTATAATGAGAAATTAAAATTGAATATTTCTTTTGGAACTAAAATGTGCGTTTATGATTTGAAACGATTAGCCTCGGATAATTACAGGTCGTTGCATATTCAAAACTCGAGCATGAGATGTTGTCGTAATTTAATGAGTTACGCAGTTATCAACATTTGAAGGTTGAGGGCCATGACTGATAAATGAATTGTGTAACCTAAATGATAACTAAGTTGTACTTCAGGTTATACTAGAGTCGCATAATAGTGGAAATTTAAAATTAAATAGTTATTAGTAGAACTAAAGCCCAGCATTTTTGAAGTGAATGTTAAATAGAGATTAGAGCCAGACATTTTTAGTGTGTAACATTTTTTGAATTTAAGTGGTAGATGTTATTTTTGTTCAAGAGTTACATTATTACTTATATTTAAAAGTTGAGAGTTACAATTTTTTCTCGATGAGTGACTTGCATTACATGTATTTATATATGTATAACCAAACTCTACACACTCGGTTGTCATTTTCGATTGGACGATTCATTAATCCAACTGAGAGAGAATTATAAGTGGACCGATTATTTAGGTTTGTTCTGAATATTGAGCACTAAACATTGAAGGAGGAATAAATTGTCTTCAAATGAATATAATCATTTGATATTAGACATACGGCTACTCATCAGTATCAAAGCCTCACTAGCATCTCCACAGACAACTAAAACTAAAGAACATAAACTGGAAAGGTGATTTGAATAATAGAGTTATGATTTATCTCAAGGGCCGGTTTAATCTGATTAGAAGTCTTCTTGTTAAGAGCGATATTCAAATGCATGTGTATGTTTTGCTACCATTCCTACTGTTAAAGAATATATCTTAAATTCAAATTCAAATCCCTCAGACTCGGCCGCTGACTCATCACCAAGTTCAGCCCCTCCTTTAGCGTCAATTTCCTCACCAAAAAACTGAACAACCTCAGCTATAATTCAGCAAGCTTTCTACTATTGTAACTTATGTAATCTAGTAGTTTTACGGTTCTTTCTTTTGCGCTAGTATTTGTTGTAGAAAATTGTATATATATAACACTGTGTAATACAATGAAAAGTATGCAGCATTTAATTCCGATTTGACTTTTATACTCTTTTATGGTATCAGAGCCTTGTAACTCACACGAGTTTTTTTTTCTTCTTTTTTCTCTCCAATGGCGTCTGACTCTAGCAACACCGCCTCTGCTTCTCAACCCACTGTTGCTATCAATTCCACTTCCCCCTCACCAAACCTCATAACCATAAATACTGCAACTCAGTTACCTCTAAAGCTTAGTTCTCTCAACTACTTCTCATGGAAAGCCCAATTTACCGCCATCTTTTTTGGTCATGATCTTATTGGATATATTGATGGATCCCTTCCGTGTCCTCCTGCCACTACTACTACTGATGGTAAAATCACTCCCAATCCTGCACACATGCTTTGGTTACGTCAAGATCAGCTAATTCTCCATGCCATTTTTGCTTCTCTGACTGAAACAGTCATCCCTTTAGTGTCATCTGCTCGTTCTAGTTTTGACGCATGGTCTCGCCTTCATTGTCTCTACAGCAAACGATCACATCAACATAGAATTCATCTCAAAGAAAAACTCCAAACTGTCACTCGTGGTTCTCGCTCAGTTCAAGAATTTCTTCTTCAGATCAAGACATTTTCTGATGAACTAACGGTTCTTGGCTCTCCTCCAAGTGATGCGGATCTTCTTCTCTATTGTACACGTGGTCTTGGCCCCGCCTACAAGGAAGTGATTGCTGCTCTTCATACACGTGACACCATTGTGCCTTTTTAAGAATTGTGTAACAAATTGGTTGATCATGAAACATTTCTCCACCATGTTGAATCCAAAAACAATGAACCACCTCCTTCTACCATCAACTTAGCCAAAACACCCCACCCATCAAATTTTCGTCCCTCTAAAGAATCCTACCTGTCCCCTGCTCCTGGTCTTTTACCCACTCCGCCTCATCCATCTCGTGACAACAAAACTTCAAACTCCAATCCTATTATCTGCCAATACTGTGAAAAACGTGGTCATGATGCTAAACATTGTTTCAAACTTTTTCCTCATCTTCGCCCTAATCGTCCCTCTGTTAACCATGTCACAACTACTTCCCCTCAAATTCATAACTGGATTCTAGACTCTGGCGCCTCTTATCATGTTACATCCAATTTATCCAATCTCTCTCTTCATCACCTTTATGAAGGCCCCGATGATATTGTTATAGGTGACGGTTCAGGTTTGAAAATCACACATACTGGTTCTACTACTCTCTCTCCATCGTTTTCTTTATCTAATGTTCTATTGAATTTTTCCTTCTTTTTTGTTGTCAAGGATTTGCGAACGGGGGACCCTCTGCTCCGCGGTCGGAATCGGCATGATTTGTACGAGTGGCCAAGCCTCGAGCATACTAATAAAATAGCAGCCGTGGCACTATCTTCACACTTTCGAGTTCACGCGTCTCCCGCCATCTGGCATGGTCGCCTCGGGCATCCCTCAGTCAAAATAATTAAGTTTCTTGCTAGTTCTGGGTCTGTGTCTCTGTCTTCTAATTTTTCGTCAACATTTCATTGTCAATCATGTGCATGTAATAAAAGTCAGCGTCTTCCTTTTGCTGAGTCAAGTTTAGTTAGTCGTGGACCTTTGGACCTTGTTTACACTGATGTTTGGGGTCCCTCGCCAATTCCGTCTGTCAAAGGTTTTCGTTATTATGTTATTTTTGTGGATCATTATACTCGTTATGTTTGGTTATATCCTTTACGCTTAAAATCCGATGTCTTCTCTATTTTTCGCCAATTCAAAACCTTGGTTGAAAATTATTTTAAAACAAAAATTGTAACAGTTTATTCTGATAATGGCGGTGAGTATACTACTCTCAAAGATTTTCTTTCAACTCTTGGAATCCAACATCTCAAAACACCTCCTCATACCCCACAACATAATGGTATGGTTGAAAGGCACACAAACACATTTTTGATACATGATTATGTTGGGAATAGTGTCCTAGAAGCATGAGATGTAAAAGGATATTTATTATTTATTTAATAAAAGAGTTTATTCATTATTTTATGTGCATATATTTATGAATATTTTATGAATATCAAATAAAATTCCTTGATTATTTATGTAACCTTAAACATAGTATATAAGTGTTGTATACGAGAGGATAATGTTTAAGGATAATAATCAAAAGTAATTGTTCATAATGAATTTAATTAAAGTTCGAAATCTTTAATTAAAACATTATTAATACATGTCATTCCCATTTAGAATGGAACGGTGTTATCCGCACTGTTAATATGGCGAGATATTGAATGAGTGTATTTCGCATAATGAGATTATGTGGAACATGGACACAGACACAATATGAATTTCTAATAATTTCCGTTAAGCATAGAAATTCTAATTGAGTATACCGATGGTCATATATAGG